GAGTGGCTGGGACTACAGGCGTGTGCCACCGCGCCCAGCTAATTTTTGTATTTTTAGTAGAGATGGAGTTTCACCATGTTGGCCAGGATGGTCTCGATCTCTTGACCTTGTGATCTGCCTACCTTGGCCTCCCAAAGTGCTGGGATTACAGGAGTGAGTCACTGTGCCCAGGCTATTTATTTATTTATTTATTTTTTCAGACAGAGTCTCGCTCTGCCACCCAGGCTGGAGTGCAATGGTGCAATCTCAGCTTACTGCAATCTCCACCTCCCAGGTTCAAGTGATTCTCCTGCCTCAGCCTCTCAAGTAGCTGGGATTACAGGTGCCTGCCACCATGCCCAACTAAGTTTTGTATTTTTAGTAGAGATGGGGTTTTACCATGTTGGCCAGGCTGGTCTCGAACTCCTGACCTCAAGTGATCTACCTTCCTCAGCCTCTCAAAGTGCTGGGATTACAGGCATGAGCCACTGCGCCTGGTATAACCCCATCTCTACATAAAATACAAAAGTTAGCTGAATGTGGTGGCATGTACCTGTAGTCCTAGCTACTTGGAAGGCTGAAGTAGAAGGATGGCTTAAGCACAGGAGGTGGAGGTTTCAATAAGTCAAGATTGTGCCACTGCACTCCAACATCGGCAACAGAGCCAGACTCTGACTCAAAAAAAAAAAAAAAAAAAAGAAAGCCTTGAGACTCATTAATTATTATACTTAACCCTTGAACTTTTGTGACGTTTCCTTACCACTTTCTTAAAGCCAAGTCCCTAGATGAGAAAGTAATTAGATCAAGGTTCAGAATGGCAAAGAGAGATAAGATAATTGCAAATAACATCATCCTACTTTGGGAAAGAGCTATTTTGGTCTTTCAACTAAAATGACTTTTTTTCTGTTGAAAGAAATTTGGCTGAAGTAGCTAGCTCAGCTGATGGCAGAAAATCAACAAAATATGAAGAGTTTCATAAAACTGTGGCATCACCCAATTTATGCAGCCATTATATAATCAATGGCAAAATAGAAGGGAATCTAAAACAATTTGTAATTTACTTTGGGAATGCAATAAACTATTCTGTTGTCGCTGGCAAGATTTTGTTGTGATGCTTATTTCAAGTAGCTTTCATTTCTTATGCATGGACTAACTAAAAGTGGCAAGACAGTATGGTCAGAGGCATGCTTATGAAACTGCCTTTGCAAAAATTACAACTGAGAAAATTATGATGGTGAAAGAGATCTGACCTGACTCCATCTTGCTTCTAACCTCCAAGCTGTCCTTGTTCATTCCTGGGTGTAGGCTGAGCTAACTTTGGGAGTTTATGGCTTAACTTTGAAACAAAGAAGATAACAACCCTTCCCCAAAACAAATCCCTTTCCTGGGGACTAGACTGCCTTTGCAGGACTAGTAAATAAGCCTCAAGGTTAGAAATCATGGTTTAGGATTCATGCAGCTGGCTGGCAGGGGGTGCGGGGGGAAATCTGAGGTCAGGAGTTCAAGACCAGCCTAGCAAACTTGGTGAAACCCCATCTCTACTAAAAATACAAAAATTAGCCGGATGTAGTGGCATGCACCTGTAGTCCCAGCTGCTTGGGAGACTGAGGCAGGAGAATCGCTTGAACCCCTGAGGCGGAGGTTGCAGTAAGCCAAGATAGCACCAGTGCACTCCAGCCTGGGTGACAAAGCAAGACTCCATAACAACAACAGCAACAACAACAAAGACCAGTGCTTGAGATATTTTCCAGACCTTGCACTTGATGGATTAGCTGGCATCACCCAGATCAATAAGCAGGCTTATCTGGTCTTGTGGCCCCCACCCAGGAATTGACTGAGTGCAAGAGGACAGTTTTGACTCCCTATGATTTCATCTCTGACTTGATCAATCAGCACTCTCCACTTTCCGATCCCCTACCCACCAAATTATCCTTAAAAAACTCGATACCTGAGTTTCAGGGTGACTGATTTGAGTAATAATAAACTCTGGTTTCCTATGCAGCTGGCTCTGCATTTATTAAACTCTTTATCTATTGCAATTCCCATGCCTTGATAAATCGGCTCTGTCTAGGCAGCGGGCAAGAAGAATCCGTCGGGTGGTTACACTTATATGGCAAAGAAAGTCACTATCGACTTCAGAAATTTGCAACAGAAGCCCATAGAAAGATAAGTCTCATCATGGAAAAGCCACAACAGAATAAATAAGAGTTAATTTATACCCAGACTTTTTTTTCAAGCAAAGGTTGACACTAGCAAAGCCTTTAAGGTTTGTTTCACTGATAACAAGCCATGAAGAAGTCATGTTTCTGAGATTTCTTGGAGGGTATAAGGTTGAGTGGGGTGTGAATGAGGAGTGGGGAACAGGGGAGACCTGGGAAGAGATTTATTTATTTGTGCATATAACAATGATTTCTGAGTACTTACATATGAGTCACTGAGCTGGGCTCTGAAATACAAGCAGAAAAAAAAGATAAACACCGTCTTTGCCTTTGAGATACTTACAGTTTGGTGGGAAAAGTAGAAAGGACAAAGGAGTTTAGAGTAATCTGGGTAAACAAAGGAAAGTGAGCATCCCTGCAAGGGACAACTGACTCCTTTCAGATAAGTCAGAGAAGGTTCCTGCAGGAAAAATTGGCTAAAGCTGAAATTGTAAGGATGACAAACATCAAAGAAGAGGGAAGAGTGTTCGTGAGGGAAGAGTGTTCGTAAGGGAAGAAATTGCACGGGGGAAAAGCTCAGAACTGAGAGAGTGTAAGCATGGAGTATTTAAGGAGAAGAAAGTCCGGGCATGGTGGTTCACACCTGTAATCCCAGCACTTTGGGAGGGCAAGGTGGGCGGATCACCTGAGGTCTGGAGTTCGAGACCAGCCTGACCAACATGGTGAAAACCCATCTCTACTAAAAATAAAAAAATTATCTGGGCATGGTGGCGCATGCCTGTAATCCCAGCTGCTCAGGAGGCTGAGGCAGGAGAATTGTTTGAACCCGGGAGGCAGAGGTTGCAGTGAGCTGAGATCGTGCCACTGCACTCTAACCTGGGTAACAGAGTGAGACTCCATCTAAAAAAAAAAACAAAAAGAAAAGAAAAGAAAACAGTGTATAGGTAAAATAATTATCTTAAGTCCAGGACTCCTAATTTATGGGTTATTATTCCGGTGTAGGCATCGATAAGAGGCTATGAGTATATACTACTCTTTCAAGAAAATGGTGAAAGGGGAAAATAGCCTTCAGTTTTGTTAAATTTTACAGAAGGTCACTGATTTGGTCTGACCTCCTGCAGTAGGCCCCAGCAGGCCAGGCCAAATCAGAACTGAGTTACTTGTGCTAAGTGCCACATAATCAAACTGAACTTTGAAACAAGCCCATCTTCCAGAAAACGGGAGATTCCTGTCAATCTAAGTAAATATAATAAGGAAGTCTCCTCTGTTTTAGCTCTACAAGGAAAGTAACTTTGAAATGATCGATTTGCAGGGCCGGGTGCAGTGGCTCACGGCTGTAATCACAGCACTTTGGGAGGCCCATGCAGGAAAATCACTTGAGGTCAGGCATTCAAGACTAGTCTGGCCAACATGGCAAAACCCTGTCTCTACTAGAAATACAAAAATTAGCCGGGCATGGTGGTGCATGCCTGTGATCCACGTACTAGGGAGGCTGACACTGAATTGCTTTAACTCGGGAGGCCGAAGTTGAGATCGCACCAGGGCACTCCAGCCTGGACAACAGAGTAAGACTGTCTCAGGAAAAAAAAAAAAAAAAAAAAGGAACCATCAATTTGTTTTTTATTCTTTCTGCATTGTTTAGCTCCTTTTCTGCCTACGAAGCCAACATTGTCTGCTCAGCTCATTGGAACATTCAATTTTATAGAATGAGATGTTGCCCGATTCTAGAATTATAAACAAAAGTCAATTAGATCTTTAAGCTAAATCTTAATTTTGTAATTTTGTCTTTAGATAGTCTCTTTTTTGTGGTCCTGCAGTTGTGGCAGTTATGTAGTTATCTGCATGCATCAGAATATTAAAATATTTTCATCCTTATCTCTAATTTCTACTTTTCATATTTTTAAAATGTAGACATTTAAGTTTATTTATTTATTTATTAAAACTGTTTGGTAGAGACAAGGTCTCCACTGTGTTGCCTAGGTGGGTCTTGAACTCCTTGCCTCAAGTAATCCTCTCATCTTGGCCTCCCAAAGCAGTGGGATTACAAGGGCATGCAACCCCACCCTCTCCAAGACATTGAATTTTTTTTTTTTTTTTTTTTTTTTTGAGACGGAGTTTTGCTCTCGTTGCCCAGACTGGAGTGCAATGGCACGATCTTGGCTCACCATAACCTCCACCTTCTGGGTTCAAGTGATTCTCCTGCCTCAGTCTCCCGAGTAGCTGCGATTACAGGCTGCACCACCATGCTCAACCTCGGGTGATCCTCCTGCTTTGGCCTCCCAAAGTGCTGGGATTACAGGCGTGAGCCGCGGAGCCCAGCCGAATTTTTTTTTTTTTTTTCAAAGACAGGGTCTAGCTCTGTTGCCCAGGTTAGAGTGCAGTGGCGAGAACATGGCTAACTGCAGCCTTGACCTCTCAGGCTCAAGCAATTCTGCCACCTCAGCCCCCCAACTACCTGGACCTACAGGCATGTGCCACCATGCCTGGCTAATTTAAAATTTTTTTTTTCTTGTAGAGACAGGGTCTCCCTACGTTGCCCAGGCTGGTCTCGAACTCCTGGCATCAAGTGATCAGTCTCAGCCTCCCAAAGTGCTGGAACTACAGGCATGAGCCACCGCGCCCGGCCAACATTTAAATTTTTGAATATTTTTTCTGTTCCCTTAGTGTTTACCAAGCACATTTATCGACAAGCCTCCTCAGGAAAACTGCCCAATATAACCACACGTGGCAAGCCTCGTTGTCAGGACAAAAGCCTCAGTCAACATGGCCGCGACGGGCTTCCATTGCCCTTCGCTGCCCTCAGTAAGGATGGCTCCGGTGACTTCCTTCGAACCTCACATTTCCCATAACAAAGATGGCGCCATTGCTTCCGCGTTCCGGTTGCGGATGGTGAGTGTGTTGGGGGGCTTGGCGGCTTTTCTCGTCAGTTTTCTGAAGCGCTTTGGAGAGAGGTAAGCGGGAGGTGGGGGTGGGGTGGTTGGAGTGGTGGGGGTAGGGGTCACAGCAATGCCTCTGATCGTTATCTCTCAATTAGGAAGTTATGGAGGCTTTCCTTGGCATGTCAGGATTTCCTGTTAGCTCTCCGCCCCTTCCGCCCCAACACACGGTCTCTGCAGCCTCTGCTTTGGGGAATCGTGGAAATTTGTGGGTAGTAAGTATGGATAAGCTTCTTTTTTAAAAAACAAATTTTTTTTTCAGTGACTTGCCACTTCAGGAGGTTCTGCTAAAAAACAAACAAAAAAACAAAAAAACCCCAGCTTTCTTGGGAAATGTATATTCACATACCATGTAAAGTTTGCCCATTTAAAGCGTAAAAAAAAATCAAGCCGAGCATAGTGGCATTCGCCTGTAGTCCCAACTGCTCAGGAGACTGAGGTGGGAGGATCGCTTGTGCCCCGGAGTTCCAGGCTGCAGTGAGCCGAGATCGCGCCACTGCACTCCAGCCTGGGAGACAGAGCAAGACAACGTACCTAAAAATAAATAATAAAGTGTAACATTAAGAGTTTTTTTGTTGTTGTTGAGAGAATTGTGCATCTATTACTGTGATCTCATTTTAGAATACTTTCATCACCCCAAGGAAAAATTCTGCCTCCAGTAGCAGTCATTCTACATTCACCACGTCCACTCCACCCCAAGTCCTAGACAATTGCTAGTATACTTTCTGTGTGTATGGCCTTGCCACTTTGCACGTTTGATATAAATGAAATCATACAGTGTGACTGGCTTCTTTCATTAAGTATAATGTCAACGTTTTTGTGACTAGCTTATTTCATGACTTTTTTTTTTTGAATCAGAGTCTCATGAGTCTCACTCAGGCTGGACTCACTCCCAGGCTTGAGTGCAGTGTCAGGATCTCGGCTCACTGCATCCTCTGCCACCCGGGTTCAAGCTAGTCTCCTGCCTCAGTCTCCCGAGTAGCTGGAACTACAGGCGCCTGCCACCACGTTCGGCTAATTTTTGTATTTTTAGTAGAGACGGGGTTTCACCATATTGGCCAGGCTGGTCTTGAACTTCTCAGCTCTTGATCAACCTGCCTCAGCCTCCCAAAGTGCTGAGATTACAGGTGAGAGCCAGTATGCCCGGCCGACTATCTTCTTATACTATGTATAATATTTTCAAAGCTTGTCTTTGCAGCATCTGTCAGACTGTTAGCGGATAAATAAAACTCTGTAAACTATTTTAAAGCAGTTTATTCTGAGCCAGTATGAGTTACCTTGGCCCAGAGAGAAAACACAAACCCAAAAAGCCTTGAGTAAGTGATCCCGAGGCAGTTGGGTTATAGTTTGCTTTTTACATTTTAGGGAGACAGGAGTTACAGGCAAAGACATAAATCAATACATGGAAGGTATACATTGGTTAGACCCAAAAAGGCGGATATCTCAATGGGTGGTCTTAGAAGTCATAGGTGGATTTTAGGGGTTCTTTAGCTGACAGTTGCTTGAGAGACTTAAGCTTTGTCTAAAGACTTGAAGTCAGTAGAAAAGAATGCTTGAACTAAGATAAGGGAGTTGTGTTGTTCAAGGTCCTTGTTACGCAGTTGAAGCGTGAGTAGCAGCCTCAGAGAATAGATGGGCCAGGCGCGGTGAATAGATGGGCTGGACTCCAAGGCTCACGCCTCTAATCTCAACACTTTGTCAGGCTGAGGCAGGCCAATCACTTGAGGTCAGGAGTTCAAGACCAGCCTGGCCAACATGGTGAAACACCATCTCTACTAAAAATACAAAAATTAGCCAGGCACGGTGGCATGTGCCTGTAATCCAGCTACTTGGGAGGCTGAGGCACAAGAATTGCTTGGACAATTCTTGAGGAGACAAAGGTTGCAGTGAGCCAAGATCATGCTACTGCACTCTAGCCTGGATGACAGAATGAGACTCCATCTCAAAAAAAAAAAAAAAAAAAAAGAGAATAGACAGTAAATATCTCTTTTTGGAAAGTTAAGTGTCAGAATTAATCTTTCCTGGATATGGGAAAGGCCTAGAAAGGGAAATCCTGGCTGCATTAATGGAGAGTCTCTGTAGATGCAAATTTCTGTTACAAAAGACAGCTTTGTAGCTTTGTAGGGCCATTTCAAAATATGTCAAAGAAACATATTTTGGGCTTTTTTTTTGAGACAGAGTCTTGCTCTGTCAACCAAACTGGAGTTCAGTAGCGCGATCTCAGCTCACTGCACCCTCTACTTCCTGGGTTCAAGCAGTTCTCCACCTCAGCCTCCGGAGCAGCTGGGATTACAGGTGCGCACCACCACGCCTGACTAATTTTTGTATTTTGTTTGTTTGTTTGTTTTTGAGACGGAGTCTTGCCCTGTCACCTAGGCTGTAGTGCAGTGGCACAATCTCAGCTCACTGCAACCTCCACCTCCTGAGTTCAAGCGATTCTCCTGCCTCAGCCTACCGAGTAGCTGGGATTACAGGCATGCATCGCCATGCCCAGCTAATTTTTTGTATTTTCAATAGAGACTGGGTTTCACCATGTTGGCCAGGCTGGTCTCAAACTCCTGACCTCAAGTGATCCACCCATCTCTGCCTCCCAAAGTGCTGGGATTACAGGCGTGAGCCACCACGCCCGGCCTACATAAAATATTTTTATTTCCTTCAGGGTTTGATATCTGTCATGTGATGCTATACCAGTGTCAGGTTGGAAGGTAAGCAACATTATACCAGTTTAATTAAAAAAAAAAAAAAAACCCATTTAACAAAATGTTATAGTCTGTAGGGTGTATCCTAACCTATGTCTTGCATGCCCTAGGTCTTGTTTATAATTTGGTATTTTTTTTAGCAATATGTATAAATATAAAACATAGAGACAAGGTCTTGCCATGTGGCCCAGGCTGGTGTCGAACTCTTGGTCTCAAATGATCCTCTCACCTCGGCCTCCCAAAGTGATACAGAAGCTAAAAGAAACTAATTAGGCAGTTAGCGAGGGTTAGCGAATTCTTGGTAAAGTTTTCTTTTTAATAAAAAGCAGCCCCCAAATAATTTCTAAAAAAAAGCAGCCTGAAAAATCAAGCTGCAAGCATAGATGAACAAGCTGCAAGCTTGTGTGGGTAAATGCCGGCAGCTGTGCCAATAGAAAAGTGCTGGATGCCAGGTGTATTCAACATGGAGGTTTCCTCTTCCCTTTTCTTTGTCGCTACATGTACAAGCAACATGGCACTGGCCAGGTTAAAACTATTTGTATAATAAAAGATTAGGGTGGGATGTCTAGCCTCTTCGCATGCTTTGTAAAAGGCACACCTGGTCCAACCAACCCTCTGTGCCCCATGTAAATCAGATACTGGCTCCTCAAGCTCATCTCTAAAACCAACCTCATCTTGCCCCAAACGGGGGAGATCCGTTCGGAACCCCCCGCCCCGCTGCATGGGAGAGCTTTTCTCTTTTGCCTATTAAACTTTCCTCTCTTAAACACACTCCTTGTATGTTCATGTCTTTGATTTCCTTGGCGTGAGACAATGAACCTCGAGTATTACCCTAGACAAGCATTGCCACTTCAGAAGTGCTGGGATTACAGGCGTCAGCCACCACACCTAGGCATAGTTTGGTATCTTATTGCCACAGAGAGTCCGTTTGGTCAGTCATATGATTTTTTTTTTTTCTTTTCTTTTCTTGAGACAGGGTCTCGCTCTGTCACCCAGGCTGGAATGCAGTGGTGTGACCTCAGCTCACTGCAGCCCCAACCTCCTGGGCTCAAGCAATCCTCCCATCTCAGCCTTCTGAGTAGCTGGGACTACAGGCATGCACCACCATGCCTGGCTAGTTTTTGTGTTTTTTGTAGAGTCAGGTTTTCACCATGTTGCCCAGGCTGGTCTTGAACTCCTGGGCTTAAGTGATCTTCCTGCCTCAGCCTCCCAAAGTGCTGGGACTAGAGGTGTCAGCCCCTGCACCTGACCATGATCTCTATTTTAACATTCATGTTGGTCAGCTGTTCTGCCTAAACTCCAAAAAGAGGTGGGTATAACGAGGTATGTCTAACCTCCTTTCCCATTGTTGATGAAAGAAGCCAAACTCTGTAAAATATTTAAAGAGGTTTATTCTGAGCCAAATATGAATGACCATAGCCCGTAACACAGCATCGGGAGGTCCTGAGAACTTGTGCCCAAGGTAGTTAGATTACAGCTTGGTTTTATACATTTTAGGCCTCAAAATGTATAAATGTTTGGGGAGAGGGTTTCAGGTCATAGGTGAATTCAAACTGATTGGAAATTGGTTGCTTTGCCTTAAGTGTTGAAGTCAGCGTAAAGAAATGTTTGAGTTGGGCGGGGCACGGTGGCTCACACCTGTAATCCCGGCACTTTGGGAGGCCAAGGTGGGCGGATCACCTGAGGTCAGAAGTTCAAGACCAGCCTGGCCAACATGGTGAAACCCCATCTCTACTAAAAATACAAAAAATAAGCCAGGCATGGTGGTGCGCGCCTGTAATCCCAGCTACTCGGGAGGCTGAGGCAGAAGAATCACTTGAACCCGAGAGACGGAGGTTGCTGTAAACCAAATCGCACCACTGCACTACAGCCTGGGTAACAGAGCGAGACCCTGTCTCAAAAAAAAAAAAAAAGAAAAAAGAAAAAGAAAAGAAATGCTTGAGTTAAGATAAGGGAGGTTGTGGAAGCCAACGTTCCTGTTGTATAGATGAAGCCTCTAAGTAGCAGGCTTTAGAGAGAATAGGTGCTAAATATGTCTTATGAGGCCTTAAAAGAGTCTTCTGGATGAGACCTACCAAGACAGGGGTCCTCAATCCCTGAGGATTTTCAAATGTTAAAACAACTTTGAATTTCTGGGATTAGGTCTATGTAGTCATACAATATGATCCTCTTATATGTTGCTAGATTTGATTTCTTACGCTATCTTTTTCTGGTTTTGATGTCAGGGTAATACAGGATGCACAGAGTGAATTGAGAAGCGTTCCCTCCTCTTCCATATGTTAGAAGCGTTATCCAGGACAGGGAGATGCACTTCTGCTGGAAGAAAGGACAAGTGCAGTGGTGGGAGGAAGCAGGGTATATTGGAGAACCTGAAGGAAATCCATTATGTCAGATGCAGGGTCAGTGAGGGGGTCCGAGGTACAAGCTAAGGCGGAGGGATTTGGGCTAGAGATGTTTCTTGGTGGTAATTAATGTCTCAGAGAAGGAAAGGAAAGGAAAGGAGTGAGCTTTGGGCCAAGTATTTTATTTTTATTTTTATTGTGAGACGGAGTCTTGCTCTGTTGCCGAGATTGGAGTGCAATGGCACGATCTCGGCTCACTGCAACCTCCACCCCCTGGGTTCAAGCCATTCTCCTGCCTCAGCCTCCCGAGTAGCTGGGATTACAGGTGCCCACCACCATGCCTGGCTTATTTTTGTATTTTTAGTAGAGACGGGGTTTCACCCTCTTGGTCAGGCTGGTCTCGAACTGCTGACCTCGTGATCCACCAACCTCGGCCTCCCAAAGTGCTGGGATTACAGGTGCCCACAGCGCCCAGCCTCAGGCCATGTCTTAAGGAAGTCCATTTTGAGATGGAGGATAGAAACAGGCAAAGAGGTGGGAGGACGGTTTGGGGAAGGTCATCCTGAAAAGAAAAGAAGTATCTAGAAGTTATGAGTTGAGGAAATGAGCCAATTGTGGGGTCTTTTGCGATGTTTGTGGAGGGGAGAGGAGACTGGCTGTGAGGAGAGCAGATGTCAAATTTTTTTTTTCTTTCTCATCTGTCTTGACACTTTTTTTTTTTTTTTTTTTTTGAGATGGAGTCTTGCACTGTCCACTGGGCTGGAAGGCAGTGGCGTGATCTCAGCTCACTGCAACCTCCGCCTCCCGGCTTCAAGCGATTCTCCTGCCTCAGCCTCCAAGTAGCTGGGATTGCAGGTGCCTGCCACCATACCCAGCTAATTTTTGGTATTTTTAGTAGAGTCGGGGTTCCACTATGTTGGCCAGGCTGGTCTCAAACTCTTGACCTCGTGATCTGCCCTCCTCGGCCTCCCAAAGTGCTGGGATTATAGGCATGAGCCACCGCAGCCGGCTGACAACTTTTTTTAATTAATTTTTTTTTTTTTTGAAAGAGTCTTGCTCTATTGCCCAGGCTGGAATGCAATGGTGCAATCTCAGCTCACTGCAACCTCTGCCTCCTGGCTTCAAGCGATTCTCGTGCCTCAGCCTTTTCAGTAGCTGGGATTATGGGCGTGCACCACCACGCCCAGATAATTTTTTGTATTTTTAGTAGAGATGGGATTTCGCCATATTGGCAAGGCTGGTCTCGAACTTCTGGCCCCAAGTGATCCATCCACCTTGGCCTCCCAAAGTGCTGGGATTATGGTCTAAAAATTTTTTAGATAGGGTGTAGCTCTGCTACTCAGGCTGGAGTACAGTGGCATAATCACAGCTGACTGTAGCCTCGACTTCCTGAGCTCGAGTGATCCTCCCACCTCAGCCTCCTGAATCTGAGTAGCTGGGAGTACAGGTGCATGCCTTTTTTTTTTTTTTGGTAGAGATGGGGTTTCACCATGTTGCCTAGGCTGGTCTCAAATTCTTGGGCTTAAGCAATCTACTTGCCTTGGCTTCCCAAATTGCTAGGATTGAAGGCATGAGCCACTGTGCCCAGCCAACTTTTTATTTTAATATAATTTTATATCTAAAAAAAATTCATGACTAGTACAACGAATTCCCAAATAATGTTTTCCAGATTCGCCAGTTATCTACACTTGCACCATTTAACCATTTACTTTATCATTCTCTGTCTCTGTATTTTTATACACACACACATATACATGCACATCTATATTTGACAGTATATTGCAGATATCATGTCTCCTTATCTTTAAATATTTCAGTGGCATTTCCAATGAACGTCCTCTTTTTTGTTGAAAATGGGGGAGATTTGGGTATGTAGAAGGGTTTAAGTGAAAGGTCTAGTCGAACAGAAAAGAGAGAAAGGATTGTTGTTGCTGAAGGCTTCTGGAAAGGTCCAGAGAGTGGGATGTAAAACCCAGGGGTGTGTGTGTGAGGGGGCTTTTGCTAGGGGAGGGTCAGCTCTGCAGTTGCAAGGAGAGGTGAAGTGGAGTGCAGGTGTGGGAGCCTTTGTTATGTTTGGTAGGGGAGGTTAGGAAGTTCCTCTCTGCTGGCTTTTTTGTGTGTGAATTAAGAACCAAGATGAGGCCCGGCTCGGTGGCTCACACCTGTAATCCCAACACTTTGAGAGGCCGAGACGGGTGGATCACCTAAGGTCAGGAGTTCAAGACCAGCCTGACCAACATGGCAAAACCCCGTCTCTACTAAAAATACAAAAATTAGCCGGGCATGGTGGCGTGCACCTGTAGTCCCAGCTACCTGGGAGGCTGAGGCAGGAGAATTGCTTGAGCCTGGGAGGAGGAGGTTGTAGTGAGCTGAGATTGTGCCACTGCACTCCAGCCTGGGTGCAAAAACAAAAACAAAAACAACCACCAAAGTGATTATGAAAAAGAGGAGGAAGATATGTGAGTGTTGGAGGAGGGTCTGCATTGAAGAAGAGTGGAGAAAACATGAAGTGGTCAAGGAGAAGAGAAGAGACAGTTATGAGATAAGGATTTTAGTATTCATTTAGTGAGACAGCCTGTTTCAGGTTGACACTCATTCATCTAGAGCACAGCCAATCTGCCCTGTTTGGTGACTCACATGGAGAGTGGAGGGGTGGTTGAGTTT